TCATGAGGATGTAAATATTAGGATGAGGAACAGTTAGTTTGTCACTTATGAATATGAAGCAATTGCTATAATACATATATGGGTGAAAAACACAGTTTCATAACCACTTTACATGAAAAATATTTGAAAAATCTTTATTTTATAATTTTTTTTAATTAATAAAAAGTATTTATGTATTATAATTATGTTTATTATAATACATCCCAGTTCTTGAAAAAAAAACAAGAAATAGAAGCTTTGCAGCAATTTATTGTAGTCATTTTTGGAGAAAACAGGGGTACTTTTAGGTGACAGGATATAAATCACATAATTTTTTTATACAACTTGAGGTGAATCTCAGGTTTTTTCTAAAATAAATCTCAACTTAATTAATATGGGCATAAATTTTATTAAACGATTAAGTTTTTCTAAAAGAGGTGGGCTATTTGTAGTATAGTTGAAGGATGATGAAAAAATCGTGAATAATTTATGATTCTATTAAAAACAGAACATAGCTTAGTTTAGGCACCCAAAGTCCTCTTTAAATAGTTTTAATGACAAAAACTATTTTCCTTTCAAATACATTTTGTCTAGTTTAAAGTGAAGCAATTGTTAATTACTCAAATTAAATATTTCTTTAGTTATCACTTCCTATTCAACAAAAAACATGGCACTTAAAAAAACACAATTCTTAAATGTTCTAATTTTTCTGCCAAAAATCAGACCAATGTTAATATAAACCTTTTTGTAGTTCTTGAGGTCTGCTATCACTCTTCACTCTGATAAATATTTCTCTCTACTTACAGGACACCCTTTATGTATGTTATATATATTTACGAGATAAAACCATCAAATGGGCAATATGAAATTTGATTAATTGCTCTGACTACACCATTTTGTAAAGATTTTTGATAAGCAGTTTAAAAACTGCATGATATCAACATATTCAATTGCATAAATATCCATACCTTCTTTATAATGTATAGTCTATTAAAAAGGCTAGGATTGTTACTGTGTGAAGACAAGTCAGATAATAGGTCTTGTATAAGTGTTACTTTCACTTACCTATATATGTAATATATAGTGAGGGTAAGTATTTCAATTGTGAAAATTTTTTAATGTGAAATTCAACGGAAACACGTTTTGAGGTACCCTGAGTCCAAATAACCAAGTCCCGCAAAATGGTGTGTGTGTGTGTGTTAACAGTCTAGCTCAAAAACGAGAAGTCGTGCTGAAGTGAAAATGCATATTTAAGGTTTATATATGCTAGGGATGTTACATTAACTTTTTTGTCAAAATCAGCTAACCGGAAGTGGCACTTTATATAATGGACTAAACACATTTTTACAAATATCTCGCAAACCACTTTAACAATTTTGATTAAATTCATCATAACAGTGTAAAATTATGCAGTTTTAAATAAAATTTGGTTATTATTCTGATTGATGTTTTCTAACAGGGCTTAAATGGCTAATTTTCAATATTAGCTTCCTCTAAAGTACCTTTAATTTTTTTAATTTGAAACAATTGACCATTTCACATTAATATCTAATATGAAAAATGGTTGAATTTAAAATATGAAAGAATTTGATAATTAACTAAAGGAGAAATAAGAGATCGTAACGGAGAATAGTTGTGTTTGAGGAACCCAGGAATATGAGCGCACCCAAGCTCGCCCGAAAGATTAGAACACGCTTCCATACGTATCATCAACAGAAGCACATTTGAAACAATGAGCACTTTTTATTCAGAATAATCAATAATAGAGAGTATCCTAACAAAAAAATATATATATATGCGCTTAGATATCTTAATCTAGTAGGAAATATAATCAAAATTTTTCAATTAACAAAGAAACTTATCTGTACAAATAAATATTTTATCACAACATTCTCCCTCATTGAAGATATTTTGGATCTTTAAGTCCAACCTTTTGTAACAGGGATTTTAATTGGTATCCATCGAGTGGCTTAGTAAGGAAGTCAGCTAATTATTCTTGATTTTCAGTGGCCTTGATTTCCAAAATTTCAGCTTCCACAACTTCACAAACAAAAAATTGGCGAATTCTGATGTGCTTGGTGAGTCGGTGAAATTCTGGATTCTTAGCCAGCTTACTATCTGCCTGGTTGTCCATGTAAAGAGCAGGAATCTCAGATAGAAAATCTTGGGGTAACAATTCATCCAATAAACGTTTTAACCGAACAATTTCTTTTGCTGCTTTACTGGAGAAGGTAACACACGATTGTCTTTGACTCATCCAAGAATAGGACCTCAAGAAAGCGTGCAAATAATTCCAGTTGTGGACCATTATGTACTGAGGTCACCCCCAGATCTGCATCACTATATCCTCTTATCTGGTTGTTCTCACTATAATTGAAGTCTATTCCTTTCTCCTGAGTGTGAATACTTTCATGGTGATTCAAAATTGCAGTTGAAATGACCTTGCTATCCTGCATATTAAATCTTCCTAGGATTTTTCTTATATGGGTCTTTTGGTCTACCCTGATACCATTATTCTCTTGACTCATCTCTAAACCAAGGTAATATCCCAGTTCCTTGCTATCAACTTTGAATTCAGAGGTTAAGTAATCGAGAAAGTCCTTTAAACTACTTTCACTAGTAGATACAACTAATCCATCTTCTACATAGAGAGCTAAAATAATTTGGTTAGTTTTTTCATTTTTGATAAATATATCAGCATGGCTTTGAACAAATTTAAATTTTACCATGAAATCACGAAATCCTTGATTCCAACACCTGACTGCTTTTTTCAATCCGTAAAGACCTTTTATGAGCTTGCAAACTTTGCCAGTATCGTTACTAAAGCATTTTGGTTGTTACATAAAAATAACTTCTTGTTCGTCTAGTTTGCCATATAGAAACACGGCTGAAATGTCAAATTGAGCTAGACTCATTTTTCTGCAGGCAGTCACACTTAAGGTAATCCTAATTGAACTCATTCTAGCAACAATACTAAATTTTTGTTAATGTTTAGACCTTTTTCTTGATTAAAACCCTTTACCACGAGCCAAGCTTTAAATTTGTCAATACTTCCAGCTGGATGCTGTTTGATTTTATAAAGCTATCGACAAGGTAGAACCTTTCTATTGTCTGGAGGGTCCACCAAGATCCATGTGCTGTTCTCATGATGACCAGCCATTTCCACATCTATAGCTTAGCCTCAGACTTGATGGCATCTTCATAACTCTGATGTTTCCGAAAATTGAGTTAAAGCCATTGTGATGAACTCTTAATATATTTCTGGTAGCCAAAGGCTCTCCCTGTTTCTAAGTTACATCTTGAATAACTTATTCTCATCTATATTTTCATTATTGCTAGAATAGGCATCAAAATCAGTTTCAGATTCTTCCCTATCGTCCTTTTTCTGATCTTCAAGTTGATGAGAATTTTTGGTTTTCACTTCTTCTTTTTCATTTGTTGGTAATGTAACCATAAGGCCAGACGTTTGTGAGTTTTCATTAAAAACAACATCTCGTAACCTTATAATAGTTTTCTTTTGCGGGTTCCAGATATGATAGCCACCATAATCGTATCCAACTAAAATCCCTTTGATAGAATTTCTATCCATATTTTTCCTATATTATTTAGGAACATGAGCATAACAGTGAGATGCTGTTATATATTTAATTGATGCGTTTTTGTTGAACCATAATTCAAACGATGTTTTACCCTCTACATCCGTTTTTGGTGATCTATTTAGAATAAAAGCAATACTGTTTTGTAAGTTCAGCCCATAATGACTGAAGAACATCAACCCGAGAATGGAGCATGGCTCCAGCAGCCTCAACAATTGTCCTGTTCTCTCTCTTGATGAAGCCATTCATTTCAGGACAGTATGGTATAGTTAACAGGTGTGCAATACCGTGTTTATCAAGAATTTGCTTCATTGATTTTTTGTCAAGCTCACTTCCATTATCTGATGTAAAACTTTAAATTTGATGACCAGCACGAGATACCAAATTTAAAAGAATGTTTTCTATTTTGATGAGCAAGACGCTCTCACGGTGTAATAAATTTATTCAAAATATTTAATTTAAACCATGACATTATCGCTGCCCTATGAGAATAACATTATCACCAGTTTTAAACTTTTCATAATTAGTATTATACAAAGTTACCTCTTCCTGTTTGACTTCTGTAGCAGGCTTTGTAGGACAGGTTAAACTACCATTTACTACATCCTCTCCTGGAAAACTTCTTAGAAGAATAAAAATCTTGAATTCCCAAGTTGCCCAGTTGTTTTTTTCCTTCTAGATTATCAATGTTTGCTTTCAGATCCATGTTTTTCCAAAAATTTCGATACGAAAACACAAGAATGTAATTCCTATCTTTTCAATTGGTAATAAGTGCAATTAGGAACTGCTATACCCATAACCTGCATTTATTGAATATAAGGTGTTCTTTGTTTCAAATGTGCTTAGATAACTTAATATAGCAGGAAATATAATCAAAATCTTTCAATGAACAAAGAAACAATTCTATACAAACAAATATTTTATGTTATCAGCCCTATGCCTTACCCCCAACCTAGAGGGGTAGTAGCTGTTCCGGATACAAGAGTCTCTCACTTCCACATTCCCCTCAGAGGGAGCACATTCTTATTCAGGAATCAATATTGGCTTGACTATCCTATTTATGCAATCTTCTCTGCAGGATAATCGCACATCTCAGTGCTTTCTGCTGCATATGTCTAAGCCTCCTTGGCCTCCTTGATCCTTAAACATTGATTCATTAATGATAGATAATTATTAATTAGCTATAATGTTTTTTCAGTTTTATTTTCTCATTTAAAAAGTCAAGAGAATAATTAATCTTATCAAGCTAATTCTTCTACTTTTTTTTCTCTGGAAAATATATGTTACATTCTTAGATTCTTTGATTTAAGTTTCTGTCAACTTTGTATTATTGAGATTCTTCTGTATATTAAACAATATAAATTAGTTTCCATTTTGTAATATTTTTATTTCCTATTGTATTAATGTGGTGTTTTTGTTGTATAGATAAAAATGCCTGTTGAAGCTATGCAAACTGATGTGGAGATGAAGGTAGTAGATTCTCCTTCCACAGAAGATCCAGTGGCTACGGCAGTTCAAGAAATAAGGGAGCACATACGTCAATTGGAAAAGGCAGTTGCTAATAAAGAACCTCGTTTCATATTAAGAGTTTTACGTCTTCTTCCTTCTACACGTCATAAACTTTCTGTATCAGTCCTCCGCAATATAATATCTTCATTTTATTTAAGTAGTCCTGAAAAAGATGCTTTATTTCTATATATTGAAGATGCTGTAGATTCAGATACCATCCAAAAAACAAAACTGATCAAAAATTCTAATGTTCCTCTCTTGCCAGAAATTGATGCTTACATTCATTTGTTGGTACTTGTGAGACTAATAGATGCTGGAAAGGAATCAGACGCTGTGAAGTGTTCTGATGCTCTTATGGCCAAGATAACTGCTCAAAATCGCAGGAGTTTAGATTTAGTGGCTGCTAAATGTTACTTTTACCATTCTCGAGTTTATGAACTTACTAACCAATTGGAAAAAATCAGAGGATTCCTGCATGCTAGACTCAGAACTGCCACTCTTAGAAATGATTTTGAAGGTCAAGCAGTTTTAATAAATTGCCTTTTGAGAAATTACTTACATTATAAGTTGTATGATCAAGCTGACAAATTAGTATCCAAATCAGTATACCCAGAATCAGCAAGTAACAATGAGTGGGCTAGATTTCTTTATTATTTAGGAAGAATTAAAGCAGCTCGTTTAGAATATTCAGAATCACACAAGCACCTAGTTCAAGCTCTGAGAAAAGCTCCTCAACATGCTGCTGTCGGGTTTAGGCAGACTGTTCAAAAGCTTGCTGTCACTGTTGACTTACTTCTTGGTGATATTCCAGACCGACAGATATTTCGTCAGGCACCACTTCGTCGTTCTCTTGCACCTTATCTTCAATTAACACAAGCTGTCAGAACTGGTGATTTGCAAAGATTCGGTGAAGTATTGGAGATGTTCGGACCCCAGTTTCGTTCTGATCATACATTTACCTTAATTCTTCGTTTAAGACATAATGTTATAAAAACTGCTATCAGGTGCATTGGTTTGTCTTATTCACGTATTACTCCAACCAGTATAGCTTCAAAGCTTGGACTAGATTCACCAGAGGATGCAGAATTCATTGTTGCTAAAGCAATAAGAGATGGTGTTATTGAAGCTACCTTAGATCCTGAGCATGGTTATATGCAAAGCAATGAAGTAACGGATATTTACCGGACTAGAGAACCACAATTAGCATATCACCAACGTATATCGTTTTGTCTTGATCTACATAACCAGAGTGTAAAAGCTATGAGATACCCACCTAAATCTTATGGAAAAGATTTAGAATCAGCTGAAGAGCGTCGAGAACGAGAACAGCAGGACTTAGAGTTAGCAAAAGAAATGGCCGAAGAAGATGATGACGTTTTTCCCTAAAATTTATTAAATGGATTTTTTTTTTTCGAAATTTGATTTGATTTTTTATCACTGTTTACATCCCTTTTGATTATTGTTCTTTTTCAGAAAAAATTATATATATTAAATAGAACTGTTATTTTTACTGTCATTATTTTTTCTCTTATTAAGTTATTGTATTATTTTAGTATTTAAAAAAAAAAATCTTTTTCTTGACTTTTTATTTTTTATTGTAACTTTATTGATATGGTAATGATTGATAATCTCTTATATATATATATTTTTTTTCCTTTTTCATAAAACAGAAAGTTATTTTACATATTATGTTAGTTTTGTATTTTACATTTAAATTAAAAAAAAAAAGTATTCTAGAAAGTGTGGCATTGGTGTAGTTGCACACAAACTCTTAATTAAACAATTAATTGGTGGAGAGGGGAAGGGGACCTAGTGGTTTAGCATTATCTCGGGCCAATCACCTTTCTGCTTGACCGTTGGCCTTGGAACAGTACTTCTTTACAAAGTACTGAACCCAAAACCCTTCATGGGTTTTTCATTTTTATTTTTTACTTGACTTGGTAATTATTCCCAGTCTTAAGACATCCAACCAAGAAATATCTTTCACTTCTCTCTTTTATTCTCTAGTCTATTCATAAAAATATTTAGTTTAAAATGTGTTTTATTAGCTTTTAATCTGGGTTTTAACATTTCCTAAACACTTGAAACTCAGTTGGAAAAAACAACAAGTAGAACTGATTTTACACATTTCTTTATTTCCAGAGAACTCAAACAATGCATATTGTAAAAAATGTTTAAAAGCGACAATAGTGCTAATCCAAACCTCTGTTGATTTCTCTTGAATAACTGACAGCAGAGGGAACACTAATCTAGAAAAGCATACCATTTACACTTTTGGGTTTCTCATAGTTTGTGAAAAGTGTATACGTGGCTTTATAAATAAATAAAAGGAGGTGGTACCTATAAAAATAGAGAAATGGTGGCTGATTTTATGTCACTTTAAAATATTAGGTGTAAATTTATAAACATGATATTTTTAATTAGAAAATTAGACATGGAAAAGACATGGTATTGTTTGAGTTACATTTATTAGAACAAAAACTAACATGATATTCTTATTGAAATCTTGAACTCTGTTCTTCGAGATTTGATTTTCTGTTGCATATTACTTAACAACAAATGAAGATTTTTTTTATATTACTCATTTGAATGGCGTATTATATTGTTTTGTGAATATTTAGTTAGCATATTAAATTAATATTGAAAATTTTAAGAAATAGAAGGAAATTTTTTTAAAAGTTATTTTATTGGCAATCTCTTATTACATAAACAATAAATTTGATGAACTTTGGTATAGGAAAGTACTCCCTGTACTTGAGGTGGAATTCAATTAGAATTCCCACAAATGTCTATAGTCATTTCTCCTGCCAATTTTCTTTTTATTATGAAGAATTTATTACATAATATGTCCAAAGGATTCCTAGTGATCTCAGTTTGTTTAAACCCTTAAAATCCAATTTTCTTCTAAAGCCCTTGTGTTCTAATACATTCACAAATTTCTCATTTTTTTATTTATGGAAATGGTGATTGAGATATCTGCGGGAAAAAGTCAAGAAGATGGAGGAGCAACATAATGAAAAAAAAATGTGAAGCAGAATTTCATTTCTTCTTTGTGGTCTTCAGAAAGCTGTAACTGCTTCTAATTCAATTTTTTACAGAGCTTTTGTGATAGCTGATACACCTTGTTATAAATTAAACAATAAATTATAGTAGAAGTTAGCTTGGGTGCAATCAGTGATTAAATTACAATAATAAGATTTATTTTTTTTTTATTTTAATTTAATTTCATCTCGGACTGCACCGACTTCTACTATTTGATCTGTGGTCAACAATATCTCCACCATTAAATAAATTTTTAAGAATTAACTTCTGATAAATAGTTATTGTATGTTTCAGAGAATCTAAGTACCCCTCCTCAAAAATATTTTATTCTCCCAAAAAATATATTGGGTAAATTAATATATTTTTTGGGAGAGTAAAATATTGCTGAGGAGTGGGACAGATTTTGATTTTTGTAATTTTGACCTGTGAGTCATTAACTTAAGTGGAAATAGATAATATAAATGCCAAACATCTTAAATACTATAGATTATTATTTTCTATATCTACATTAATTCATCAACAAGTAAATGCATATTTGAAGTTTCATTTCACATACTAACCTGGTCCCTTAAATTGTATTATTTTAATTAATTTTTGTGTGTTTTGCAATTGTTTTCTTAATTCTTCCTCTTCTTAATCATCTTTCATGATTTCTATTTATAAAGATTTCTCACGTTTTATAACAAATATTTTCACTAACAGTGTTAGATAAAACATTTACTAATATAAAAGAAAATTTATATAAGTGTGATGGGTCCAGGATTTAATTTTTGGAGGGGGGCTTCAGCCTGAAAACTTTTTAATATAACGATAATTATTTTGGAAAAAAAGAAAGAAACTATACGAAATTAGTTATTGAAGTTCTATTAAATTGAATTACAAGTATAATATTTTATCATAAGGCATGATCATTTTTTTTGGGGGGGAGGCTTCCAAATGCAAGAACTAAAAAATGCTCTTACTAGAACTAAGTAAGGGAAAACCGCAGGCTCAGATGACACTCCCGGAATTTCTTGTACACCTGGTGGATATCGCCAAAGAAACTGTACTAAGATTTATAAACTGATTGGAAAACACATTCCGTGTAAAGGGAGGAAACCAGAAGAGGGAAGAACAAGGAGATATAACGGAAAATTTCATACCATTGCAGAATCTACTTCAAAAGTACATAGAAAAATATGATCTAATATCTTCTAACCAAGCTGGCTTCAAGAAAAATCGGAACACTATTTTACAGGGGGTCCATCCCCCCCCTTCCATGATATTTTATTGTTCACCTTTTTTTCAAAACAGAGCAAACGAACATTAAATTAGAAAATCTTCTGGGCATCCCTGACTATTGAACAAGTAGCTCATCTAACACAAAAAACGGCTTCCAAAGAAAACAGAGCACCCTGGTAATATTCGTTGATTTTAAGACAGTATATGAGAAAGAAGCTGGTGAGTAAGCTTGTTGTTGTGGATATCTGCTCAAGACTTCATCCTCTTTCTTACACTAAATATTTATAAGGGTACGATACAAAAACTTTGTCTCGACCACAGGGGAGGCTTTCGGGCTGAAGCCCCCCAAAAATGGTAAAATGTAACCATGTTTTATGGATAAAAAATTTTCTCTGGGTGTTATTGTTCGTGTAATTACATTTTATAGGACTATAAGAATCACTTAAACACCATTTAATATAGGTAGTTAGTATCTTTCTTTTTTTTTTTTAAAGTAATTAATGTTATATGTATGTAAAAAAAAAGCTTACTGGCTGAAGCCTCCCCCCCCCAAAAAATTAAATCCTGGATCCGCTGTTGGTCTCGTATATCGCCAAACAAAACATGACCTCCCACAAGGTTCGGTGCTGAGTCCCTTCCTGTTTAACATCATAATTGATGATATCACGGAACTCACCGAATCCATTTGGGGTACAAATGCTCTGCTGTAAGCAGATGACTTCGTCATTTGAGCAACAAGTAGCGACTTCAAAGGACTAGAAAAGCAGATGCAACAGGTACTGGAATTACTAAAGAAGTGGGCCGATGAAAACGAGATGATCTTTAATATCGAAAAAACGGAATTCTAGCTTTTTACCCTCTCCATCAAATCACACAAGATAAATTTGAACTATTATAATGAAGAGCTCAAACGCACAGAAGAAGCTACATATCTCGGAGTGAAACTCGATAAAAGACTACTAGAATTGTAAATGTAATTGTTGGATTTCTAACTTACCTGTTGAAAATTGGCCAGTTGTTTATATGAAATTTTTTGTAGGTCTTGAGGTCTTCTAATGCTTGACAATTGTCATTTCATTGTTCATTGCAGTTATTCTTAGGGGACTTAATGTCACAGAATAAAATTTACTTTTCTTTATTTTAAAATCTTTATGGTCCCTCTATTTTTAGTATTTAGTAATCTTGGTTAGGTTTTTACCATCTATCTTTTGTACACAGCCACCCCTACTAATTTTAGTTCCTAATTTAATAGATCATTTATATAAGTTATATATATATTATATAATATTTATAAAGCAGTAGTGACTCCACTATAAATATACATTCCATATGTTGTATTCATATTACTCTTTATTGAAATTCATTGGTATAAATATAAACTACAACTAATATATTCATATAAAATTCCTTTTTTAAATTTTAGTTATCAAAGAATCAAATATATATTAATATTGTTTTAATTATTTTTTTGGACAAAATCTGATTAGGAAATTAGTATATAATAATTACTGCTTTAACAATCATTAATTCATAACTTAATTAATAATTACATAAATAGTAATAACAATTTATTATCAATTTCAACATAATGTTATCTGAAGTAAGGTACAACAATTAATACAGAGAAAATATTGTCGCGTGAATCGCTCTTTTTCGGATATATCTATGTCTAGGTCAATTATTTGTGAATAAATTAATTTCACAAGGATAAATTTACTATAGTTGCTGTACTATATTGACTATAACTGAAATTTTATTTTTTATTATTTTACAGAATAAGTTCCAAATGTTAATAATATTGGATATTGATAGCTGGTATTCCAAAACCATTTCAGCTGCTTTCTCTCAACCATCTCTTTTACAGCTGAAACTCCCAGGTCCTCTCGTATTCGCTGATTTCTGACCAGATCTCTTCTGGATTGGCCAGCCACTCTCCTCAGGTATCTCATTTCTGCAGCTGTTACTCGGCTGCAGTGCTTGTCTAGTGGGACCCAGCTTCCGCTTCCATAGAGAAGAGTAGGTAGGTATATTGCCTTGAAAATTTGCAGCTTCGCGTTTTTTTCCGCTTCTCTCTTTCCAGAAATTGTGTTGCATAGTTGGTAGTAGACATTATTTGCCTTTTTGATCTGATTGGAAACCTCCCCATCAATCTTTCCATTCCTGCTGATGACTGTACCTAGGTAGTTATATGCCTCAGTCTTCTCTAGAATTTCTCCTCTGCATTGGATCTCCACATTTTCTTCATTTCGTCCTATACACATTACCTTGCTTTTATTTGTATTGATCATCATTCCC